CATTCCATTCATCCTCTAGCTCACTGGATGATTTCATAGATTCATCATTATTTTATTGGGAAAGAAAACACTGTTTCTTTCCTATCAAGAGCCCTCTGAGCATTTACTAATTTTACAGTACTTGTAAAAGTGTATCTCGATTTTCTGAACTTTTATATTCATTTTAGCATACCAGTAATTTCCTAATTTGCAGAGTGATTCTTTATCAACCTTTGTAGGGAAAATCTGTTCTTAAAATTCTGTTTTCTATGCAGGATCTCTTGTTTACTTGGCAAAGCATTCTTTTGAGCCAGAGTTGCCTCTGGGCTTTTTCTAACTTCAAAAGTTTCAGCCATCCTTTTGGCTCTAATACAGAACATCAATATATTTGATCATGTATAAAAATATGTACAAGGTGAAACTACTAAAAAAGAGATTTTAAAAGAAATATAGATTAGGGCAGCCTAAATACTTCTATAATTTTCTGGCCTTTATATCCTACAAGATTTTCCATTTGACAGCCTTTTCTTGCAGTTGTTCAAGCATATCAGAAAACAGCTGAAGCAGAAAGCAATAATTGTTTGATTTAGCAACCCTCAGTACTCAGGATTTTGAAGAGGTATGTTTAACAAAACTGGCCTCAGCTATGCCAAAGACATCACCTCAGGGTAGTTTCAGCGTCTACATAAGCGTAAGTCCAATAAAATGATTACTGCAAGTATTTTTAAAAATAAACAGATTTTTTTTTTCAAACAGCAGATACTATTGGTGTATCTTTTGTTTCAGAATAATGTGATAAAGAAAAGTAGTATATAATTTAAAATACTAATAAGCATAATAAGCATCTATGTAGGTTACATGAAAAATTATAATGAGCAACAGAAGAAAAAAAAAAAAAAATAAAAGCCTGGCCAGCTGTCTTTAAAAGCCAGTGATATTTGAGTAGGTTGTGGTAGTGAAAATCAGCTGTAGGGCAGATGGTCTGTCCCAGTGGCACAAGTTTTATCTCTTTTTCATTAAATTCATGAAGTAACCCTTATATAACAAAGAAAAAACTGTAGCATAGGATTTCAAACTTCAAATATTCTCTATTTCTAAATCTAAGTTATGACTGAAAATATGTTTTGTCTCTATATGCTATACATAGAACTACATTAGAATTGCATAGTTGAGCAAACAGTCAAACATTCATGAGACAGGAGTATAGGAAGTGCAACACTAATATTATCTAGATTTTCTTAACTGATTCCCTTACACATGTGTATTAGAGTAGGGGTTCTTATAGTAACTTCAAATAAGTTTGAGGTGCCTTGAGGAAGAGCTTTCTCTTGTACAGTGGAAGGAAAGACCGAAAAACCTCAATTCCTGCAGTGAGAGATCAACCCAAAGAAAAGACACCTAAGCCCATTAACTCTGTTTGAAACTAAGGCAACTCCAGAGGGTGAGTTTATTCTCCAGGGAAGTCACCTTCTACTGAGACTACAGAGAACCAGCTTTTCCCATTCTGTGATTCTGTGAAACAGGAATGCCAGCTAGATATACTAGATACCTGCATCCTCACTTCTTACAGTGTAACACCAGCAGTCAGCTTTTATATACTGTTGTCTGTGGAGGAAGTTTATTCCAGAAGCAGGACATATGCTGTTTAAATATTGTTTAGACTGAAGAGGTTGAACCTTTGTATCAAAATAGTGCCTTTACTATCAAGCTATTCCATATCCCATTCTCTGGTGTACGAAGTCTCAACTGAAGCTGAGATACTGTTTGGCTGGGAATAGAAGTGTGTGGTGTTATCAAAGCATGCTTAAGGTTAGCATAGCAGGCTCCAGACCTGATACCCTACATGAGTACTGCCCTTGTATTAGACCATTACTGGTTAAATCCCAGAAAGAATGAAACTGGTCAAACCCACATTTCTGTTTCCTCCAACCATCTGAGTGCAGAAGAGTTCCTGTTTCCTGCCCTCGGTGGCAGTTCTTCCTTCCAGGCAGCCTGTCTCAAGGAGTGCAGCAGATGCACCCCTCTGTGAATAACAAACCATCTCAGTATCAGGATGCACTGAATTTAGATGCCTGTTTGACTGAATGTAGGTCACAGCAGAAGCTTAATAAAGCATTAGGTGCATATCTGGCTGGTGAAGGAGCCCAGGGAAGGAAAGTATATGGGCATGTGTGTGGCTAATTAGTCTCCGGGACTTGAATGCAAAGTGGGAAAAATTTCTGAAAGTATTCAGGTTGCACCACTTTCTAAGTGAATTTTAGGTGCCTACATCCTAAGTAATCTGGACAGACAAAGTCCCATTCAAGAAGGTTTTATACTGGTGTTAGTCTCCACATTAGCATCAGGCAGCATAATTTTTTACATAGCATATTTTATGTGTTGTTAATTTAGCTTTCCTTTTCCTCACTTCGATCAGGATTGCTTTGTTGAAGTATCTTAGATGTTCTAAGCTTATAAAAGTGTGTGTGTGTGTGTGTGTGTGTGTGTGTGTGTGTGTAAAAAATCTTGAAATCTTGTAGATTTTTGTTCATCCAAGTCTCTCTTTCAACATATTTTGTTCCAGTTATCATGGTTCTTTTGTCACCTCATAGCACTTCTCTCATTCATTCTATATTTGCTCTTCTGGTAATCTCTGATCCCCGACATTATTCTTCCCAAGTTTCACCAAGAAGTATCCTGTCTATTTTACTTTCACAGTAATTATAAAGCAGTTTTTTTATTTGTCCCTTCTTCCTTCTTCTAATCCCAATGCAATCCCATTCTCCCTTCTATGGGCTTCTTCGACCATTCTCCCACAGTTTCTTCTTTTCTTTTCCTGATATCCTAGTCAAATGATTGCTTGGGTTACAAGTACTGTGCTGTGTATTGGAGTGCTAGCAGTGTGAATACAGGAGAGAGAGAGCTTTCTGGTCTTCATTCTGATTCCTGACTTTTCCCTGCAATAAGGCAAATTAAAGGACAATAAAGAAAAATATGCCCATTAAGTTCAAGTTTTTCCAATGATTTTTTCAGAACATCAAGAGAAAGGTGGAAGGTATAAGTCAAATCAAATTTTGAGCTCTTGTTCTAAACTACAGTTTTTCAAGCATCTCAATGAAGTGGTTTCAGATGATTTCAGTTTTTGCTTTAAAAATTCTCAAAATATTTTGACTGAAGTTTTCATGTAAAGAATTGGTCTGAAACAAATACAGTGAAGAAATATTTAGCTTGCATATGAACACATAATTCTGGTTTTATTTTTGGCACCTATATCTAGATGATTTCATACTCATCAGTCACAGTTTGCGATAGTGTCTGTATCACAAATGTATTTCATTCTCCTTAAGCAAGCATAATTTTCCCCAAAAAGAAAATGAAGAAGATTATCCTCAGTGCTAGTCCACTTGAGATGTGGGACTTGCCAACTCTGTCTTTTGCCTCAGGACTCCCAAGAAGCCTGCAGGTGGATACATTTAGTGTCAAAGAACATTTAAGTTGACTTGCACTTCAGAGGAGGTTAAAGCTGTACTGTTGGTACAAAGCTTTCTGCTTTTGTTCTGTAGCTAGATGGAGATAGCTAGAAGTCCAGATAATTCTCAGTGTAGAAAAAATACTGTCAAAGCCCCTGACTTGCAAGAATGTAGGGAAAACATCTAAAATTCACACAGATGAGTAGCCAAAGGGCCCTTTAGCTATTGGTTCCAGAAGCCCATAATGTCTGTAGCAGGGCAAATGACAGCATAATAGAGGGCAAATATACAATTTTTAATATCCATTCAAATGCTTGGTGGCTATAGGAATTGCAAGACCTGAAGCAGTGAAGGAAGAAGTACATCACCACCATAACTGAGTTGGCGTGTCTTAGTGTAATCTCTCTTAGTGAAGTATTAGGAATGGCAGAGAGCTAAATCAGCCTCTTCTTTATGGGTTAAAAGTCTTGAGAATTACATCAAGGCCTTTCTTTAAGAGACTGAAATGTTGAAGATTAGGAACTATGATAGCAGATGAAAACCCTGTCTCTATAATTATGTGAGATGGTTTCCACAGAAAGTACTCCTTCCCCTGTGTATGTCTGCCTTAGCTAGGGTATATTCATGCCTAGAGGTGTATTGCCTGGTTGGGTGTGCAGCTGGGCATTATCCTCTCTGATTCCCTTAAGTTCAGGCAGGGTCACTGTTTTCTTTGAATGTCCTAGCTTGTCCCATCTCAGGCAAAGTCCTCATGAAGAGAGCAGTAAACTGTAGTTAGTGATGCTGCAGTGCTACCACCATGTACTGGCTCCCTGGCTATTTGCAAGGCTTTATTTTGCCCTAAGTGCACCATTTACCCCTTCTGCAGTGACTCCTCTGGAGTAGGTATATCCTTTTCTTGGCTGATGTATTTGCAGTCATAGAATTCAAACTGAAAGAGCTAAATAGAAGCTTGTAATGACTGTAGTGAAAAAAGATAGCAAATCAAGCCCTAGACTGGTTAATAACAATTGCTACAAATGAATAATACTGCTTTTTTACCTTGTTACTGAGTCGGCCTATGAAGAGGGTTGGACTATTGAGCCTTCCTCTCAGTATTTATGGAGGGTTTATATGATTTCAGAATAAGTGTATTTATGTTGAAAAATATTAAGTGATATGAAATATTTATGAGTTTATCCCATAGTCTCTTTAGCACAACAGCAGATGAAAAATTAATTCATTGTTTATAAACTCCTCAGAAATGTATATAAACGAATACCTTGCATTAGTAATGCAAGTAATACAATACAAGAGAGAATAATCTAACCAGTCCACCACATGAAAGACAATCAGTGTGAAGTAAAGTACTTATAGTACAGGGTTTTAAAAAAAGAGTAACTCCTGATATAGACTGAAGCTATTACAATATTAACTTATTTTTATTCTTTGTTATAAATGAAAAGTAGAATATAATATTTTCTGTTTAAGTAATCAATATAAATAGAAGCTCATGAGCAAAATTATTTTTAAGGATTAATATATGACTTCATTGTAGAAATGTGTTCACTAATTAATATTTTCTTCCTACAGATAAAACTGTGGTATGACAAGGTTGGTCATCAGTTAATAGTGACCATACTGGGAGCAAAGGATCTTCCTTCAAGAGAAGATGGGAGGCCAAGGAATCCTTATGTTAAAATTTACTTTCTTCCAGACAGAAGGTAGGATGAACACAAAGACAAGGAATATTTGAATTAGTCTGATACTCAGGTGACATGCACAGCTGATTTTATCAATCATACTTATATGGAAAAAAGGCTTCAGTGTTGAGTTCTGGTGTTGAACATGCTATGTAAAAGCAAGGTGTTTCTGAACACTAAGTACAAGCTTGCTTTCCCTGGTTATAATACAAAATACTGAATAGAAAAGGAAAGAAAAAGTAAATACATGTCTTTGCATGGGGATCTGTTATTTGCAAAGAATGTTATTAGTGTTTTATGATGCCTTTATTTCTATGCCAGTTATTCTTCTCTATAGCAAAGAAAATGCTACACAGTTGGGTTCATTACTTTCTGGATTGATGAGTGAGCAGTTTGGTTTGGCCCACCTTTATATAATAAAGCAGTAACAGGTTTGACATCTGAAACCCACAAATTTCTTATCACAGTATAAGTGAATTAAGGCTGAAGGTGACTCAGCTGAGAGTTCCCATTTGCACTTTGCAAACTTCCCCTATAGCACAGGACTCATGTTAATCTGGATGGTATCATCTATGCACTTAGTGAAAATTAAACTGTAGTAGGACTCCTATTCCTGACATACTCCTTCACTTCTGAGTCCATGATTTTCTCTGTTTCAATTTAGATGTTGGAAAGAACAGCAGAAGAGAGAGTGTGTTCTCCAGTTGATTTTTAAAATTGATATTTCTTCAGATTATATCACCAGGGGAACATGTTTACCTTTATATTATAATGTACCAACCAAATTCAAAGCTTTAATGTCACTCAAAAAAATAGATCAGTGCACTGCTGAATCTGTAGAATAGAATGTAACTTGTATTTTTACTTCCTTGGCTTTTCCAAATAGCTAAACTGGGAAAATGCTAGCTATCTCCAGTACCATTTGACTTCAGCAGGAATTAAACTATTTAGTATTTTCGAAGACATTGCTTTTCCACTTCCATTGTTTACCATACGTTGACATGAAAATTTTCTGTGACTACCTAATTTGCTGTGACATTGATGATTAAAAGGTTTTGCATAGATTTTCTTTGGCTCACCAATATTTGTGAGATGGTTTCCACAGAAAGTGCACCTTCCCCTGTGTATGTCTACCTTAGCTAGGGTATATTCATGCCTAGAGGTGTATTGCCTGGTTGGGTGTGCAGCTGGGCATTATCCTCTCTGATTCCCTTAAGTTTAGGCAGTTTATTCAAACTGTGTAGTGTGTTTGTAGCTGCTGAAGCTGTGCTAAACTGAAAATCAGGTCTGCTTCAATTATCTTACCTGCTTTTTCAAGAGCAATGAGTAATTAATAAGCTAACAAAAGTGTGTTCAAAATGTTTTACAATGTAAATTGTGATAACTAAAAAATATATTGACATTAAATTTTAATTACCTGTAATATTTTTTTCCCATTAATGGGATGTATTTAGACCTTTTCTTTGTTGCTTTATGTGTTTATGATCAGCAATTTGTCCTAAAGAACTGTGGGTTTTTTCTGATGTGGAAATCAATTTTTCTTTCCGTAGATTTAAAAGCTAAGTAAGCAAAAATATATTTCTTGTATAGTAGAAAGAAACATGCTAGAGGTAAAATACACTTTAGTAAGTCAAGCATTTAATTAGATGAAGATGCTGAATTCTCTTTGATTAAAGAAACTTAACTGAAAAATGTTGTCCAATGTAACTTATTTCAGTTCAAAAGAGTAAACAAACCTTTAGTATACTAGAAATAATTTATGTTTTTTTAAAAGTGTGTCTAAAAATATTATTTAGATAATTTTTTGATCCAACTTCTAAGTCACAGTTGAGAAATATAAGGACTTTATTACAATTGCAACTATTAATGAAGGGACTGTATCTGCATTGCCTATTAAAAAATCCTCATAAATTAGTGTGGCAGCTGCATTATGCAGCAATCAGCAGGATTAAAAAAAGCATTGTTATGAGGACTTTTGTCAGTATTCTCAGTTGGAGGAGTGTGGGTGTTTTCCAGTGAAAATTGTTTCAATCAGAAAATATTAATTCTTTCAAGTAGAAATTTTCTGCAAAAGGCATTGCTTTCAACAACGCCCTGGAGCCAGAGCCAAGGCTGCCAGGGTAACCTTGCCTGGAGACCTCACCTTGTAGTTGAGGTTCACCTTCAGCTGGATGATTCATTGGGGTGACCACAGGATTTGGGAAGCTGTTTGGAGAATAGTTTGTTCCGGTGTTGCTGGAAAAGAACATGTAAATCATTTTTGGGGCTTCTGGTTTCCCGTGTGGATAAGGAGCCCTTAGTCAGGAAAGCCCTGCACTGTCCCCAGCTCCGTGACCATTCCTTCACTTGGGCCAGCAGCTCCATCCAGCTCTGCAGTTGGAGTGAGCCACTGGAGGACTGAGGGAACCAGCTGGCTCGTCTTTCTGAAATGCAGGTGTTTGCTATGCCCAGTGATGTCTGTAGAGATCTGCTGTCAGACTGTGCCTTGTGGAAATCCCATTTATGGAACCACATTTTGCTTTATAAAATGCTGTTTCCAAAACAAAAGAAAATACGCCCCAAATCATGTTAAAACATTTGTGGTTTTTGAGGAACTTACTAAGATTGGAATTGGCACATAAACTTGGAATCACCTAACCTAAGTTTTTAACATGAACTTCTGAAATATCCTCAATAGATGCACTGACCTTTATAATAAAGGAAAATTCATGATTAGAGTGCCCATGATCGTGCAAGCTCAATTGCTGATTTAAGATTTCCTATTTTCCTATTTTATATATTTGATATACTTTAATTGTATTTTGAACATATTTAATATTTAACTGTTTTTTTCAGTGATAAAAATAAAAGAAGAACCAAAACAGTAAAGAAAACGTTGGAACCTAAGTGGAATCAGACATTTATTTATTCTCCAGTTCATCGGAGAGAGTTTAGAGAACGAATGTTAGAAATCACTCTTTGGGACCAAGCACGAGTTCGAGAGGAAGAAAGTGAATTTTTAGGAGAGGTATACAAATATTTGTAGTTACTATAGATATACAGTTGCTCACATACTCATGTATAGATTCAGTAGTTTTGCAAAAATTACTAATTGTGCAAAGAAAAGCTGTTTTAATTGTTTCATTTTTTCTTTCACTTAGTGATATATAGTGATCTTGCATATATCACATAATCTTGATAGGAGACTCTTTCTGTGTTTTTTTCTGTTTTAATAACAGCATGAACATGGTTTCTCAATTTCTAATTGTTCATTAAAATCTATATTTTCCATAGCTGTATTTTGCTAAAACTTTGGAATGTTGCTCATTAATCTGAGATATTTGAAAGCTGTAAAGGCTTTCATAAGATAATAAGGGTTTTGTGAAAGATTTTTTGGTATATTTAGTGCTCTAAAAGGCACAGGAGATTCTTTCATATTAAAATAAGGTTTTCATCTAACTTCAGACAAAGTCCTTAGCAATAAGAGAATGATAGAAGGAAATTTATGAATATATTTATTTTAAAATATTCTGTCTCATAATGCTTTCCTACTTTTAACCATTCTTTCTTTTTTAGATTCTTATTGAGTTAGAGACAGCATTGCTAGATGATGAACCTCACTGGTACAAACTTCAAACACATGATGTCTCTTCATTGCCACTTCCCCATCCCTCACCATATTTGCCACGCCGACAACTCCATGGCGAGAGTCCCACACGGAGGTTACAAAGTAGGTTATTATTTTTACACACTCTGTGTAGTTCATTTGAATTAATGCATATTAAAATCTATTAAATTCTTGCAAATGGAAAGCTGACAGAATTTTTATGTTGATTTGTAGCTGTTATGAATTAGATCATTTGTAGTTACTGCTGAGAGTCTGACATGCTACAAATGCTATCAACCACAGTGCATGATGCCATTTTTTTCTTATGAGACACCTCAGTTCAGATCCTCAGTTTGAGTAAATTATCTTGGTTTTTGCAATGTGCTCTTTTTATCATGAAGCCCTTTATTTTATATTATGTTCATAATTTCATTGTTTAAACACTTTTAAGCAAAAGTGGATTTGCAGGACCTCTCTCTTTAGCTCATAGTTCTTAAAGTAACCTGTATATAAGATCATATGTAGATAAACTAATACTATGGCCTGTTGCCTTGCTTTGATACTATTTTTATGTGCTTAGATTCACAAATGAAATTTCTCTAAAAATTCTACTTTGTAGAACTTGTTACACTCAATCTGTATCTGTAGCTGTTTTGAAAACAGAGTGTATCAAATGTGGTAAAAAAAATAGATACATAAGATTAAGACAGCAAAAGAGGAAAATCTGGTTCTTCAATACTTCATGGTTTCTCTAGTTTAATTTTTCATTACTACCAGTGATTTAAAGCTCTTGTTCACTGAATCAACTTCATAAAATCCCAGTTGGCGGTTATATAAAAACCCTCAGCAAACCAAATGAACCAAGCAAATTAATAGAACCCCCAAAACCCTAAAAACCCACCACCACCACCACAGAAACCCAACAAAACAAAACCAAAACCCCAAAACAAACAAAAACCCCCCGAACAACAAAAAGGAACTTCGAGAACCCAAATCCAATTTCTAATATTTACTTGGAGTTTCTTTGAGTCATTGTGATGTGAGAGTGTGTGTGTGTGTTTCACACAAACTCACAGAAACTTATATGTGTAGTCATGAAAACAAGCTTGGATATTTTATATGTTCTATGCAGAGTCTTTATAAGATAACCCATTGTATACAAGTTATATATATAATGTATACAAATTATTTCAAGCAGTTGATCTGTTTTGCTTCTGTGCACTTGATGGTGAGGATTAAAATGCTCCATATCATAATACTCTGAGATAGACACACTATCAGGCACTTACATTGCATGGCCTTGAAGTTTTAATATTATGTTTGTCCACAAAGGAGAAGTGATGGTTAAAAGGTAAGGAGTTCTATTGCAATTCAATCCTCTTCAGACTTGTCTTATACCATGACTGTTATTTAACTAAAGTTTTAAAATTATACTTCTTATATGGTTGATGCCATCTTTTAACACATTTTAAGAAGTTAAGTTTCCATCTACAACTATTTTTACAGACCATTTGGGCTGTTTGTATGTGAGGTTAGTGAAATTAAATTCTGGTTTAGAGGAAATATTCAGTCCTTCAAACAAACCTTGTTTGTCTATCAGAATTTCTGTCTGTGCAATAAATAACTGCCATTAAGCATGATTTTGTTATTTATTTCTTAACATATTTTAGTGATGTTTGAATATTGTGGATGATGTTGACTCAAAACTTGAAAGACATTCAGGTTTTTTTATCTAGCAATATTATGATATACTAATAAGTAATAACTAATAAATAGTAATACTAATAATTTGCTTAACTGAACAATTTTACATGCTTGTCTGTAAATATACAGGAAAGAACTTAGAACTTTGCTGGTTTTGCAAAATAATAAGATTCGGTATAGAAGTCTTGCTTTTCATTGAAGATGGTTTAATCTGCTTGTTCCCAGAGCACTAGATTTTCAGCTTCAGGTTCTAAAAACTTCAATAAATGGAGCAATTTCAGATGTTCACTATTGTTGCTGGAGAACTCACATGTTACGACACGAAATTATCCTATCTCCTTTTGTACTGAGATAGGGACCCGATAAAGAAGGATTTTCTCTAGTGGCCTAGGAATATATTAATGTCTTAAATCCTTGTGTATCTTAAGTAATTTTCAGTTTAAAGAGATTGTTTTAAAAGTACAGAACAAGGTATCCTGGCATTAAAATCCTTGCTTTCTGGGGTCTGAAAAGTTATACAATTGGAAATTTAGCATAATGGAATTCTTGGTGTCCAAAGAAGTTGTGCAATATCCTGCTGAGAGATCCAGTACTCAATTGGACAAGGCTGTAAACAATGCAGTGTAAGTTGGCCAAGCCTGAAGCAGGCATTGCACCAGATGGCCTCCAAAATGCTCTTCCCATTTTAAATGTCATCACCAAGGGACTGGTGAAGGGCAGACAGCACCTCTTAAGACTGTTTGCCTTCACTAAGTAAAATATTTATACCATATTAATAACTCATGAAGTTTAGGGGTTTTACCAATTTTTGAGGTGTCAAAAGAGTATGAAGTCAAACTTGATATATGAGTTTCTTGTGTCTGAAGACGTTTTTGTATCTTTCAATAACATTCTTTTATATGAGTGATGAAACAAGATGTTATCCAGCAGCACATCACGACAACGTCAAAAGACTCTCTAGAACAAGGCATGTCTAGCATGTTTGTCAGTGTTTTCCATAGCACTTCTTAGAACATGTACTGGGCTGTTATCAAGCAGGCTGATTTAAATTTTTGGGGCTGCAAAATCTGAGCAGTTCAGTCCTCCTACCTTTTGTTCTTTTCTGCAATGCCTCTATGTATAGAATTAGTGAGTACAATATGAGAGACTTTATGGAATACCCCCAAAAATTGTTTGTGTGAGAAATGACAGGAGAGATATTTTGAATTGCAAGGTTGTTTTTTGTTTGTATAAATACAGATTACACATCTAAGCATTTTTATCTTCATGATTGCCGAGTGATAAACACATATATTTGAAGACCATACTTAAATGTTACTCTCTAAAGGTAGTTTAAAAGAACCACCTACACTTACCACTTCTATTCTCTTTTTAATATCACTGGATTGCAGTGTTCCTGAAGAAGAGCAGACTGTCAGCCCTGAAGAGTGAAGCTGTATTTACAGATTGCCAGTAGCAAAGTGCAAGCTTCCCACAGAGCCCCATATGCTGTTTTTTTAGGAACCAGCTTTCAGAGACAGTTGCTTAGTTTCTACATATATTTATCTCAATATCTTTGAGTGGGCAGTGTGTTGTGGTAGAGACTGATCTAAGTCAGCTGTCCACCTTCTCTTTCCCAGTCCTCTGATCCATAAATTCCATTGCTTCCTAGGGATAAAGAATCATTCCCATACTTTCTCCTTTGTGTTTTTTGATAGACATTTACTTAGAAACTGGAACTAATATAGAACATAGGATTATGACTTCCTAGCTCTTTCAGCTAATTATATTTCAGATTTTCATAACCTGATCCAATGAGTATATTTTAAGCTTTTTCTTATGTGAAATGTAGGGTAATGAGTAGGTCTATTTTACTTACTGTGCTGAACTTTTGAAGTGAATTTTTAAAATTATTTAATTTTCTCTAATATTTACCACAAAGTCAGCCATATACACAGAATTCCAGACAACTTTAACTAGAATTACAGCCAAACCAAAGTTCATTTGTATATTGCCTCTAAAAAACATTGTAACCAGAAAATAAAAAAAAATTTTAGAGAATATTTAGGAATTGTTGTTGTTAGTAGGTTACTTTTCCATCTCACATTAGCTAAGAATCTTATTGGAGAATACATACAAAATTGAACAGAGATAGAAATCAAATTGGATATGATGTATTCTTTCTTATTCCATCTTTTGCAGTTGTATCCGTGTAGTGTGAACATTTTGGCAGCGTGAGCCGATATTTTTGAACTGAGAAAGAATATGGGGTTATTTTTTATTTTGGAAAACAACTTTTTTGGTTTTATATTGATGCTGAATTTGATTCAGAAGCAAATTTTGTTTTACTCCAAGTGTTTTAAGACTTTCCCAAATACTTAGGGTTGAAAAGTGACTGACTAGTTTTCTAAGTCAGATTCTGCAGCTTTAAAATGAAGCTGTCTGAATTATTGATCTGCAGCCCACAGAGAGTGCAGTGTACAATGTAAGTAACAGCTAAATGCAAAGCAGTAAACCCAGACATTTTCACATCTTTTGTTACAGCATAGGCTTGTACAGCAGCAGATCTGTACAGTTTTTAAATACCATGAGAATTCACAATATGATTTGAAAAATAATTTTTTTTTTTATTTTGAGCATCCTCAGTAAGGGAAAAGTAATAAATCTATGGGAGATAAACTCTGCTGAGAAGAAGAGCTCAAAGATTTTAGAAATTCAAAAATTTAGGAATTTGAAGTTAACATGTGGAAGTCCAAAATGTTGGGTTTTTTTAATACTTGAAGACCAGAAAAAAATCAATAAAAATAAAAATAAATGTAAATAAAAAGACTTTGAAGTACTTTTCTTGTAAAGGGAGTTTTACTTTAATTAGTCTTAGAATTAAATTAATCAATGGTTCCATTCACTGAGTTACATGATTCTCCAGGCCCATAAAAAATCTGGACGGAGAGAAATCATAATTATGAGAATTTAAACTCCAGGAACAAAATTTGACAATAGCTACGTTCTAAAAAAATCTGCATATAGTGTGCAAAAAGCTATATATAACATTTGTTTTTAAATTTTTATTCATTTTTTTGGATGGGAATAAAGAAAATCTATAATGTGTAAATGAAGTGTTTTGAGTAGCATGAAAAGTTTTGTCATCTTTTCAGCTTTTTACTTTGTACATTTTTCCATCAGACTGTATTTTCTGCAGCAGTGCTGAGACCTTAACATGACAAAAATGATTAAATCTGACCAGAAAAAATAAAACTGATAGATTGAATTTAAAAATAAAGAATCCCACTACTTATTAATTTCTGAAAAAACATTTTTAGATGGACTTGTCATTGCTGGGTGCTGACGATTTTTATTTTTTGAATGTTCTGTGGCTGTACCACCAGATAAAGGAGGAATGTCATAACTGTTAATTTAATCCCTCTCTTCCATTATTTAAA